GCACCCAAAGCGAGAATCATATCCCTAGACCAACAAGCCACAAAATGTTGCTTACAAAAGGAAATTTGACAAATTTTCATGAAGCCCATCAATGCATTCTGAAGTTGAGGGACTATCTCAAAACTTATCCTTGCACATCTGCAAAGTGGAAAGGATCCATTGCTATGGCTGAAAGTAACATTCAAGGATGTTTCAGAACGCATCAGGTTTTTGCAGAAGGAGGGTGGAAATTCACAACTCCTACATCAGTAAATGGGGGAACCATGCATTTTGATACCCAATCATGACACTGCAACTTTCCAAGAGACTGGGCTCGTCCGGGATTTGAACCCGGGACCTCTCGCACCCAAAGCGAGAATCATACCCCTAGACCAACAAGCCACAAGATAACAGTTTCAATAGGAAATTTTCGTGAAGCCCATGAATGCATTCTGAAGTCGAGGGACTATCTCAAAACGTATCCTTGAACTTCTGCAAAGTGGAAGGGATGTATTTCTATGGCTGTCATTAAGATCCAAAGCTCTTTCAGAAAGCATCTGGTTTTTGCAGAATATAGATGGACATTCACAACTCCTACATCAGTAAATGGGGGAAATTTTCGTGAAGCCCATGAATGCATTCTGAAGTCGAGGGACTATCTCAAAACTTATCCTTGCACATCTGCAAAGTGGACCTGCTAAACAATCTACATTGCAATGGCTGAAAGTAACATTCAAGGATGTTTCAGAATGCATCAAGTTTTTGCAGAAGGAAGATGGAAATTCACAACTCCTACATCAGTAAATGGGGGAACCATGCATTTTGATACCCAATCATGACACTGCAACTTTCCAATAGCTCGGGCTCGTCCGAGAGTTTTGAATTTCCAAGAAGCTAAAAGAACTCATTCTAAAGCCTACGGAACCATATTAACTAGATTCCTTGCACAACTACCAAGGTGAAAAGGATGTATTGCTATGGCTGTCATTAAGATCCAAAGCTCTTTCAGAAAGCATCTGGTTTATGCAGAAGACAGATGGAAATTCACAGCTCCTACATCAGTAAATGGGGAAACACACATTATGATACCCAATCATGACACTGCAACTTTCCAATAGCTCGGGCTTGTCCGGGAGTTGTACATTTTGAAGAAGCAAAAAAAAATGCATTATAAAGCCTGCGGAACCATATTAAATAGATTCCTTGCACAACTAACAATGTGAAAGGGATGTATTGCTATGGCTATCATTAAGATCCAAAGCTCTTCCAGAAAGCATCTGGTTTTTGCAGAAGATTGATGGAAATTCACAACTCCTATGTCAGTAAATGGGGGAACCATACATTTTGATAATGATGTGAGACCAGAGTAACTTTCCAATAAGCTCAGGCTCGTCCGGGATTTGAACCCTAGACCTCTCGCACCCTAAGCAAGAATCATACCCCTAGACCAACGAGCCACAAAATATCTCCTTTAATAGGAAATCATGTATATATTAAATATGGTCCTTGCACAACTACCAAAGTGAAAGGGATCTATTGCGCTGGCTGTCTTTAAGATTTAAGGCTTTTTCAGAAAGCATCCGGTTTTTGCAGAAGAAGGATGGAAATTCACAACTCCTATGTCAGTAAATGGGGGAACCATGCATTTTGATAACCAAGTGAGACCAGAGTAACTTTTCAATAGCTTGGATTCGTCCGGGATTTTACACCGGGACCTCTCGCACCTGAAGTGAGAATCATACCCCTCGACCAACGACCCACAAAGTACCATTTCTGATCTGAAATTTGACCAATTTCCAAGAAGCAAAAAAAAAACTGCATTCTAAAGCCTAGTTGTGCCTAAACCTCCTACATTCTTCAGGTCAAAACAAATACATTTCAACTTAGAAGCAGGACATACTGTCTGCTGCGTTGTTGTCAGAGAAGCCAGCACGTCAACATAGCATGTTTCCTTAATGTCTGAAGGTAAGGTAATTTTATGATTTAATTTATTAGATATATTACATATTGCTTCTTTAAAAATAAGATCTGAGGTCGGTCCTTTGAAGCCTTTCCTGTGTTCACCTTCACAAAGCCAAAGGCTATAAATAATGTAGTCTCCATTTACGGGTCGAACATTTGATAAAAGGTCATTTTCTCCAGCTAAAAATCTCACTTGACTTTATCCGTCTTTCTTTTCCAATCTCTCCCTGTCTGTCCTTCTTCTCTTTGATTGTTTTTCTCCTGCTTCATGCCATCACACTCTTCGCCTGCTCCCTCCACCTCTACCTCTTCACTGCTCACTCTCACTTTCCATCTCTTTCTCCTATTTTTGGTCCCAGATGCATCAATTATTCATTTCTTTGCACGGACATTTTAGCTCAAGGGTTATAAACAAGAACTATCAGGGTCATCACATTACACCTGAGCATCCACCTGCGACACATCCAGATCCCAGTGAGCAAAGTAAAATGTGTGGGTGAGGCGAGCTAGCAATTTAAAATGTACAGTCTGTAAAGTACTCAGGCTCATCCGTCTTAAACAAGTGTCAACGTCTGAGTAGAATAATGAAGCAAAAAGCTGAAGTGCAACAAACTGCAGTTCCTCAAGGGTCCACTTGGGGTTGGCTCCAAAAGACACAGAAGTCACATTAACACCCATGTTAAAATGCCCATTTTTAGAGCAGAAATAATCATGTTTACAACCTGGAACGCATAACAGTTTTGGTCTGAAATGTTTATTTCTTTATATGCATTCACTGTACTGGGGTTGAATTGTTTTATTACTCATCCGTTTTGATTTTATGAAGGGTGCAAGTTATGAATAATTACTGGTTGGGCTAATATGACTGCTAGCGGGTGAATTGTAGCTGTTTGCCAGGAGGCTTAAGGCCTTTGCCTGTTACTAGATTGACTGAAAGTTACTATGATATTAAACATGGCGACCACCATCATTGGGTTCAAAACATCCTTTAATAACCAGTGGGTGATGTCACTGAGACTGCATAATATTTTATATCTCGATATTATTGATGATGATTATGGTAATGACGATGGTTTTTGTTTGATAACAACGACTTATACAGTAAGATAGTTTCTATAACTATAACTATAAGAACTGCCATCAATGTTGTGCTTTGCTTCTGGTCACTTCCTGTCAGCACCTGTGTGTCCAATCAGACTCAAAGCTGATCGTTTGCTCTTACTGACATTGTTCCTTTTTTTCTAGATCCTTGCTTGTGTTGTACTTACTCTCTGATGTACGTCGCTTTGGATGAAAGCGTCTGCTAAGTGAATTGTAGAATTATTCAGTTGATGGACTTTAATGATATAATTTTTTAAGCTCCTGCAAAAACTCTTTTTGAGTTGCGTCAGTTTGATTACTCCAACAAGACAAAGCGGCACATCTATTATTTGCTGACTGTGTCCTGTACACGTGTTGGTAGGAATCTCCTCCTTAATAGGACAAGAAAGAAAGCGAGGAGCATCCTAGCATATAATTCCCATCATCTCTTCTGCCAGTTTGAGTGTCTGAGCACTAGGAGGAGCTATAGAGTTCCTCTGGCAACAATATATTTAAGAAGTCATTTATCCCACGTGCAGTAAACATCTTTAATCTTACAACATGACTGATGAGATCTGAACCATGAAATAAACTGTTTTTAATGTGTAAATGTAGCTGCTATGTTGTCTGTGTTATTCACGGCCTGAATGTCTTTCTACTGTTTTATGTATCTGGAGAGCCTAAGGCAAAATGTCCACCTCTGGTGGACTATTAAGATGTATTCTACTCTATGCTATTCTATTCTATTCTATTATTTTCTACTTTATATAGAGACAGACAACCATTCACACTCACTATAACACCTACGGGCAACTTAGAGTCACCAATTAACCCAGCAAGCATGTCTTTTGTACTGTGGGTGGAAACAATCAACTTGTGTGGTTTATGCATTGGAGGACCACAGAAATCAAAATAATATTCTGTAAAAGTTCATTTTGAAAATGACTCTTTAGATTCTTTATTTCATTATAATTCCAATTACAGCTAAAAACTCTTTGCTTAATCACAAAAGAAAAGAAAATCCTTAATTTTTCAACTTACTTGGACAGCAAAGGTCTGAATGACTCCTTCAACTGTCAATGCAGTGAATGCAGTGAAACTGAGTGAGAGGCAGGAGGGAGAGAGCAGCAACCAGGAATATCAGGACTTAAGACTGCATGAGTTACAGCTCAGCACAGCTCAGCGAATGAGTTACTGTTATGCAAGAGCTCAGTCAGCCCAGCTGGAGATCAGTGCGAGAGAGAGAGAGAGAGAGAGAGAGAGAGCAGCGGACCGAGCAGTGAGAGCACGGGAGAACGGGCTGAGGGACAGAGAGGAGGGGAGAGGGCTGGAGAGCGCAGGCAGATTACAGCTGGATCTACAAACACACACACATTCCCTCACTTCTTGTTTTTCTGTCACACCTTCTTTCAGCATCATGAGTGGAAATAGAGAGGGGGGTTTCCTTTCTCCACCAAGGGAATGAGAAGAGAATAGGAAGAAGAAGAAGAGGATAAATAAGAAGAAAGAAGATCTCGAACAAAGACACAAGAGGAAGGAAAGGAAGCACCAAACTTTCCTCTATGGATCTTCCCACCTGGCCAAGTCTGACTGAGTCAAAACACCTGACCATGAAGCTGTGAATCTGCTCCTCTTCGCCTTTCTTTACTGCAGAACTCTTCTTTTTCACTACCTGGCCCCATGTCTCCAACAGCGGGACCCACCAATCAATGGATGCTGCTGTGCCCCCTGCTCTGTGTGGTGGTCCTGGTTAAAGGATCCACTCTGAGCCCTCAGGACTTGCAGAGCATCGCTGTCACGTCGCTGCTGGAGGACTCGTCAACTGGCACGACCATGCAGCTGCAGCCAGACCTGCAGACTGAAGCTCAGGTGCCAACAGAAGCACCTACAGAAGCATCTACAGAAGTACCTACAGAAGTACAGACAGAAGCACGAACAGAAGCAAGGACAGGCAAACCAATTCAGAGAACCACCACTAACTACACAGGTTGGTCAACCATTGATTTCCTCACTTTCCAATTTAAGGTTTCATGATCATTTTTTCTTGGGTGCAAAAAGTTTGCAGTCGCATGCAGGAAGGGTTTAACTTGAATTCTTGCAGAAGAAATCTATCTGTTTAGTAAATGTTCATTATTCTGGATGCAAAATAAACCTCTTAGTGCCCTTTAAAAAGATGCTAAGACAATAAGCTGAGCCGTCAATGGACAGATAACAATCAACATCTAGATATGCATTTAATATATTGTTGTAAATTCATTGGTTTTGGCCTCTAAAATCTTTGCAAGTTTTCTTGATAGAGATCGAATATTCTTAGATGTTGGTGTGTCGCTTGGACAAGAAAGTTGTACAAAAAAACTTAACTTTGGAAAAATGAATTTGCAATTGTAATGTAATACTCTATAGACCAAGCCATTAATTAAATAATAAAAAAAACCTTAGCAAAGATATCCTATACCCCAAAATGTCTACTCCTTAGCAAATTCATCCAAGTATCAGATCATTGTGGAATAACAGCAGTTGCTTAATGATCATTAGTGCTGTTATCAGGCGTCTCATTGGGCTTAAATCTCCCAACAAATAAGGAGATTACTGGGCATTTTTCAGTGATAATAGAAGTTTTTTAAAAGTTTGTGTAAGGGTTCAAATCGTTTTCCTCATCGATATATTTGTCTTAACAATACTGTCTTTACATTACCATGACCTGTACCATCGCAGGGGTAAAAACCTGTGCCTAAATTCATCATTAGTTGTCACAACAGAAGGCAGCATTACAGGGAAATACTAAAAAAAACTGATTATAAGATATCTTTGGAAATAACAGAAGTGCTTTGAATTTCAGTGTTTGCAGAGACCTATACAAAGTGTGTTAGCACTTTTCATCAAAGAGACTTACTTGCTCTAAAAATTTTTTGACAGTATTCGAAAACCTGGAAAATACTTGTCAATCTCCTCTATGAAACTCATTGCAGTCTGCAAGCAGCCTTGTGCTTGTGCTGCTCGTAAGCAACGTGTTTGTACATTCAGTTGCTCATGACCTCCATCTAGTTTGCATTAAATAAACAGCAAATCTGTTTGCATGTTCTTGCAAGTGAGCCTGTAGTTTGCTGCACGTTTGTCACTGTGAGTGCATGCGTGCATAAATGTGTGTTTTCTACAGGGCTTACCTCTAAAAGAGGACAGTTTGAATCATCAGTCAAGAAGACTCCAAGTCAACTTAGATTTTGTCAGCCGGATCTCTGCAATGTTTTCTTTTTTTACGAGGAACAGCATAGCAGAATTTGTTGTTTGAGCTGATTGTGTTTTTGTTGTTGATCACAGGGTGGCGCTGTGTACAGTCAAAGAGATGTATTTAAGTGTGGCGCTGATTAGCAGCAAGTGTTGTGCAAAGAGAAGGATGTCAATGGTTTTTTTTTAATTTTTCAGTGATGACTGTGTAAAGGTGTGTGATGTAATGGGATCTATTGATGTTCTTCATTTAATAGATTGGCACATCCAATATCAAGGGTTTGTTTAAAAGACTGAAGAGTGTTTTGGACTCACATCATCTACAACAAAGCCACCAAACAAATCTGACCACACAAACAAAAGTTGCATCACCACTGGTGTCAAAATAACCCTTCAGTGTTTAAAGGCTGGGTTGGCAATTTTCAAAAACTAGCATGATTTTGAAAGTAGCATTCCCTCAATGCCCCGTCTGCACCCACCCCCTCCCCTATGTGCTCCCTCAAAAGCCACGCCCCGTACTTATATGCACAAGTGCCATTGGTCCAGAAGCGGACTTCAACTCATGCTTTGAATGTGGGCTAGTGCATGCATGAGGTAGAGAACGAGCAGGGAGACGTGATTGGTTTTCAGATTGGTACCTCTTGGCAGACATTGGTCAAAGCTTTTACAGGCTTACAACTGCTACAGATGACAGATTTTTTTTCGTTCCTTTTTCAGAGAACATGAGTAATTAATTTCTGTGAGGACCTAAAGACAATTTCAATCGACACTTAAAAAGTGTATCTTGAGAAAATTACCAACCCTGCATTTCAGTGTTTCAAGGCTTTTACTTGGAGCTGAATTACCACCCGAGGTCTTCTCTTCTCTTTCTGTATGTTTGTAGCAAGTTACACGATAATGTGTCCATGTTCCCTCTTAGTTTTTTCAGCCGACACAAGATGTACAAACGGGTCTGCCAGTTGAGCTGCACTTAGCTTGTTTCTAGGTTTGGATGCCTTCATGGTTTTTCATTCACAAAAAAATGAGACCCCCAGGTGACCCTCCCCCCCCAAAAAACAGCACTCAGTGATTCAAAGCTAGAAAAACAACAGTTTCTCTATTATTTCTTTCACAATTGAACAAAAATCCTAAAAGTTTGAGAGCTTCATGTGTGAAAGCAAACAGTTTGTACAGACTCCGACTTTACCCAGACGTTCTCCTGCCAGCCCCTAAATGTCCTGCTTGAAGTTGGGATTGGGAACTAATGTGAGAGTGCAGCAGTATTCATGAAAAGTCACCACTAGCGAGCAGAAGGGTGTGATGATGTTTATATCCTGAAACTGGCGCATGACTGTAGACTGTATGCCCAGAGCGGTACGATCTCTATGCACGTAATGAAACTGTGTCAATATGTTTTCTACTTGCGAGTGCGTTCTTCTACGCTCTTCTGTTGATATTGTGAACGTCGAACTAGAGAAAGCATACATAAAAAGGCAAAAGCTGCTTCTAACAGAAGCTCAACAGCTGATCTGACTGCATCATCCGGTGTGTTCGTTAAAAGTGACAGTAAGAGAAGTTAAAGATTGTAGTCAGGTATTGAAACTGATAAATGTCTTTGGAGTTAAGTGTGGACTAATCAAAGCTGCATAATGGACAAATAAATCTGGTTTGTATGACATCTGTTTTCACAAACTTGAGTGTTCCTACATGTGTATTTAGGCGTGATGGTTTTTTGTGAGTGCTTTTTGGAGAGAACAGAAGTTTGAGTGCATAGAAGACAATATGCACCTGGGCAGAGTGTGTGTGTCTGTGTGAGGTGGCAGGTGATGCAGTTAAAGACAGTTCGTTATATCCAGGCGTGAGCTGCTCAGCCTGAAGAGAAAGCTGCAGCGCCGCTCGCATGACTTCACCTCCAGTGGAGCATGAGCTGCCTTTCTCTTCTCTCTCTCGCTCTCTCTCTCTTCTCTCTCTCTCTCTGTTCTTCTCTGCCCATATGTCTCTATTTCTCCTGCCTTTTTATTTTCTTCAACATCTGTCTCTCTTTTCCACTAATTGCTTTCCCTCCCACTCTTTGTTTTTCAGTTTTTTTTCTTTGTAGTGTCTATTACTTCTTTCTTATTTTATTTCCTTCCCCTGAATCTCCGTCTCCTTTTCAACCACTTACTATGCCTATGTCCCTCACCCGCCCCTTTTCACTCACAGAGCCCATACCCTCACGTGCATGCAAGAATAGCCTACAGCAGATGACAAAATGCAAACCGCACGTGTCTAATACACTCATAACACACACACACACACGCACAAACACAAACACACAGGAAATGGACGCACTCTGCCCAAACGTCACCAATCTTCTTAAAGGTTTAGAGAATAAACACAGTTACTCGATTCATAACGGCAGCTCTGTGTCTGACAGAGTAGGAATAAGCACTTTATACTTTAATAGCACACACACACATACACACACACTCAGACACACACACATATACACAAAGCTTGCAGGAAGGTGATCAGCTGGCTTGCCACATTGCACCACATGCATGAATTACGCCACATCAGAGCTTTTAAGTGAGAGCTTCCAAATATTCTAAATCCTGTAGCAGTGATTAACATCAACGTCCCAAAACCAAACTGTGTGTGTGTGTGTGTGTGTGTGTGTGTGTGTGTGTGTGTGTGTGTGTGTGTGTGTGTGTGTGTGTGTGTGTGTGTGTGTGTGTGTGTTTGTGTGTGTGTGTGTGTGTGTGTGACAGTATAAAGTAAACACATTCTAAGCCTATTTGATTCTTTCTTTCAGGTCCAGATTACATCTGTAATGTTATGTTGCAATTTAAGGGGCAGTTTTTACAAGTAAAATCACTGAGTATTTTATGTATGGGACAAAAAAATTGTAACAACAATTGACAACAATATTCCATACAATTCAGCTGTTAATGTTTTGGTTTAAGTTTACACGCATATTTCTAGTGCAGATTGTAGAGCTTCAAACATGTATCCATTTCTACGACCACAGAGGAGACCCTGAGGAGGGCTGCGTCGCCGTGTCCTAAACCCGACATGACATGAGCTGCTTTCAGGGGACTGAGCACCATTTACTCCAACAATTCTGTAAAAGTTTGAGTTGGGGTAAAAGGACACGGGTTACCTTTCTGTACAGCCTCTATTACGGTAAATAACAAAAAAGAACATCTGAAACAAAGCTGCTTTACTTCTGCTTCTGCTCCCTTTTTTTGTTTTCGCTCAAAAATTGCCACCAGGTGCCAGGGGGCGGATTCAAGAGGTGACCATCAACCTTGAAAATCAGATTGGCACACTTAAAATCCTTAACAGTGATTGGCTTTTTTGCCTTGTCAGAGGCCAGTCTAATGTTAACATCATCTGTTTGGACTATGTTGTGAGGCAAGTTTCTTTTGAAGGTGCTTTGAAGAGTGACTTTGGGCAGTCATCTTTTTGAAGCCTTCAAAAATTGATCTGGGTCTGCTTTAGCGTAGTGGCTAAAGTCCTCCAAGTGGGCAGCCCGGGTTCAAAACTGCCTGTGTCCACTTTCCTGCATGTCATTCCTTACTCATTGTTTCCCTGATTTCCAACTCTATCCACTGTCATATCTCTACAATTAAAGCCCAAAAGCCGGAAAAAAATTCTGTGATTAATGTAGTTGGACCGTCTGAGAGCAGTCGTCGCACTAGTTTTTGCGGTGTGTCCGGCTCCATCACTACCCGTCGGCCCCCAAAGGCCCTTTTTTGCCTGACGGCTGTTGGTGAGAGGAATCTCTCTAATTGGTTGTTG